TCATTCCACTCATTCCTCATCTGTACTCATTCCGTACTCAAAGGAAAATAACGCGCTTGAGGGAAGCTAACAATTGATCAAGCTCACTAAGATAGCGATTGAACAATTGAAATATGAGGAGAGTATATTCTTGAACTGGACTTGACAATATGAGCTAAAAGTATAAAACCATGTTCGCTTACATTTTTCTTTTTTATTCTTTTCTTTTATACATTATACATCATCGCTATTTATTACGATAACCACTACTTGCAACACTTGATCGTACTCACAAATATCTACCCAATTCCCTCAACAAAAAATATAAAGTAACCTATCAAGATGCCCCGCACTATCGCTTCTTCTTCTTCTGGCAACGCTGCCTCTTCATCAATAAACTCAGGTCCAAGCGGGACCTTCTTCGAATTTAGCGTGAAGCAAGGGAAAGAAGGAAGAAGTGGCTATGCACGAAAGGCTAAGGAAGCCAGAGATGAAAAAGAAAAAAGGAGAGAGATCCGCGAGGGCAAAAGAAGGGCCTGTTCTGTAGGCGTCCACAACGTCTCCGAGGAACACACCCCTCGCAAGCGGATCTACTCCCAAGGCACGATTATCGGTGCAACAACTGATAACTCTTCCAGCCACCTTCAGTCGCCTTTTTCGTCTGAAGAAACAGCAGAGCAGAGAAAAACCTGTGCTAACCATGTTCTCGAATCTCTCCTCGCCAACAAGAATCCCTCAAAGACATTGCTGCAGTACAAGACATACTTGAAAGCTTGGCAGGTAAGTTTATTATTTTGTTTATTTGTTTATTTTATTTTTTAGGACAGTCAAATTTTTTTTTTCATGCTTCGTAATACAAAATATGCAAATACAATATAAATGATAGGTGTTCTGCAGCACAAGAGAAAAAGCGGACTGCAGCGTTGACGCAAGAAAAATGTTAAAGTTTTTCGAGGAGGTTGTTTTCAAGCGCACAGTAAAGAAATATATTGATTCAAACGCGGGATTCAGTGGCGTCGTTGGAAAGGCTTCATCACAAGCGGCCAGATCAGTGTTAGAGGGCAAGCTGACTCGCGAAAATAAGAGAAAACCAAAGGCTTGGAAAGCAGAGACAGAGGAAAGTATTTTTCAGGATGTTGTCCATGAGCTGGAGCAAAATTATAGCCAACGTAATTCACAGCCTTATGAGACTCCGGCATTTGAGGGTTTGAGGAAGCCTCCCAAGGTGACAAAGACGATGCAGGAAGCGAAGACGAGGAACAAAATCACTCGCAACCAGCTGAAGAAGAGGCCCTCATGTCTGCTGAACCACAAGCCCTCATGGTCTCCTCCATTGCGGAAAGAGCAAAAAGTAAATCTAGTGTAATCATGTAACCAAAATAACCTTGTTCAAAGCTGTGGCTCACTCTTAATTGACATTCTGACACTTCATTTTAATCCAAATATAGTTCTTTCGCATCCGCAAACTGATGAGACTGGCCGAAGATTCATCTATGCGCCTATCTCGATAGAAACAGTGGATTGTGCCAGGAAGGCATTAATTTATCTCTACAAGGAGCAAGCGTCATCAAAGGTGGATTGGCCAAACCCTGCACCTCATCCGCGCAAGGATATCCCGCTGAAGGAGGCTATCGAGGAATACGAGGGGAAACTAGTGTACGACACCTCATTCCAGGGATCGACGCGCACTGATACCTGTTCTATTCGCGACCCCTATAATGAGAAGCAGTTCATTCGGATGGCCCTCCATACGTGGGGTATGAAGCCAATGCTGCGGCTAAAAGGGAAGCGAGTGTACCATGCGGAAGGTAGATTTCAATATATGCGTGAGCGCCTTTGCATCTTGGCACGACACCATATGCTGCTGCGAGATGAAGACATTCGCAATCTTAACCTATCTGATGTGTTCAGTATCATGTCCTCCCATCCGGCAAGTGGGTCCCAGCCAGCTCTCGGACTTACGTTTTGCATATCTCGTGGCAAAACAAATAAAAAGGGTGTTAAGCTTTATGCAACCGCCTTTCGTCATAAAGTTTTTTACAGGTGTACTGTAGGAGCGTTTGGCTTCTACATGTTAGAACGATTTATGGTAAGAGATTTGTGCCATTCTTGTCTCTTCTTACTGCAATATAGGTTATGTACTTTCCTAGCTCGTTGTTAAATGTTGGGTCGCGTACCATTCCTATAATAGCTGGATAAGGAGGATGTCCCAAACTTCGCTGATCCTGACGATTGGTACAACATCAAGCTTTTGGTCGCGGCTAGTACGATCGAGAAGCGCAACGCAGGCCTTCGCAAGAATGCTGTTGCACCAAAGACTCAAATCGATGCCACAGCTTCTGTGATGCGAACCTGTGGCATTTATTCGACCAAGGTCACTCACGCCGGTCGACACGCAGGAACATCAGATGCGTACCGTCTGGGCTTAGGCTTGGAGCATATCCGTCACCTTGGGCGTTGGGTAATGGGACAGATGGAGAGTTTCTATGCTCCAAAGAACCCCACCACTGGCGCGTTTTATATGGCTCATTTCAACAAGGAACAGGAACCTTATATCCTTGAGCGTAATCTCGTTATCCCTGACTTGGAGCTGCAGAGGAAAATTTTCCCTTGGATCGAAGGGAACTTTAACAGCAGCGTTAGAGAGAATGAGGAATGGGTCAAGGATTGTAATGATGCTATGACAGATGTAAACCCGGATCTCATCACGGAGGACGACCTGCACTGGGGAGGCTGGCAGGAGCGTATGCGCCATTCGACAGCGGCTAGGGATCAAGATGAAGAAACTACGGGAAGCTCCGCCGCAACGGCCAATAAGCTCATGAACAGCGCAATGATTGATCGAAGAGCTTTCCTACTATTGCTGGTACAAATGAGGAGAGTTATCCTTCAAGACGCCGTGCTGTACCTGAAGCCTGACAGCAAAGGAAGGACTCTGAGCAATAAGCTTTTAGAATCACTTCCAGAAATCTTTGAGAGTCAGCTGTTCCTTGACTTTCAGAGAGAGCTCCTTCGTGCGATCGAAGTGCATCAGCAGAGCGCCAATGTTGTCAATCCATTAGTCCCAGTTGACAAACATGTGGTCTCCAACGCGCTAAACAGCCTTAGTCACCAGAATGCATCTCTTGAAGCAGCTATTGCTCGGCAAGGAGCACAAATGGCACAGCAAGAAGCACAACAAAGGGCGCAGTTGTCTGCCATGAGCTCAGAGCTCGCGACGCTAAAGCAGCAAATGGAGATAGTGATACATTTATTGCAGGATCCGTCAGCTCGCCAAGCTCCAGCGCATCCCTTGAATTCAGCCGGTCTTCTTGGGCCATATCCCCATACTATGCCAAGCTATCCTGCTCTGCGCAGAGTCCCTCAACAGCAGCCGTTTGCGACGCGTCCCCCACAGGTACCTCAACAGCACTCATCGCTGGTTCAAGCTCCTCTACATTGCTTCCAACGAGCGCCAGAGCCATCGCATCACTCGTCCCCAGGCCCCAGCTCATCAAGCGCCACTTTCAAATGGAAAGCAGACCGCGGAAAGCTCACAGTGGCAGATGCTTGGGATGAGTTTCATGGGCCCCTTGCAGCATTTAAAAGATTGAACCCGAGTTGGCCAGTGAATACATCAGACCAAAGGGCCTACAATCGACGATATGAGTTAATTAGGCTGATCAACGAAGCAGCACGAAGGGAAGGTCGCAATCCTGAAGACATTGTTGCTGAGTGGTCACAGGCAAATGAGGGAAAGACTATTAACTCACTGTTGATATCCATGAAAGCTAGGGAGCAAGAGGATCCTGAAGATGACCAATAAATGACAATACACTTCCCAGGTAGGTAACAATAGCATATATAGAAGCATGTACGATAGTAACATATATAATAATAGATATAGTAATAAAATACTAAATGCATTAATTGCTTTGCCAAAAAAATAAAATAAAAAGAAATTGGTATGTTTGTGAGTCGCGCGTTTGCGATCCGTTTGGCGTTTGGTAGCGTCTAAACGCACTTTCTCCTCATTTCCGTTGAGGGAAATAAATGGCGAATAGTATGGAGTATGGATAAAGGGAATGTTAGTTTAGATTAACTTGACCAGATGTGGTCTGTAAAAAGTCAAATAATACCAGAATAGCAAGGTATCTGAAATACTAATGATTGAAAAGGAAGGAATATACGCCGTTTTCACTACATTTTACGCATTCTGTGGTTTATATTGACTACATTATACGCACTTTGACTTAAATATACGCCAAAATGGTTACACAAACAAGACACAGAGCAGTGACAGTCACATTTCAAGACACAGAGCACTCCCTGTCTTAATATTGATTCAGATTCGCTCTATATACTGTATATATACATTTTGTTATCTTGTTTTTCCTGATCATCCCCCGCCTTCATTTTACTTCTCATCTAAATCTTTCATGTTTCAATTTATATATATATATATATATCTGTTTAGTTTTTGGGGGTGAAAAAAAAGGCACAGAGGTCTTGTCCACATTCTAGCCTCCGCCTGTATGCGTACTGACAGGCCAGATCCATATTCTATAAAGGTATTCTTTAAGTCAAAAATACCGTTAGGGGTATATAGTGAGCGTTAGTACATTGAGCATAAGCCACGCAGGCTGTAGACAAGCCAATCATAGAAACAATTTATCTGATCTCATATCGCTCTTTCCCTGTCATGATTAATAAGTGATCTTGCGCTTCCAAATTGAAGGCAACGAGGGAAAACTTACGCTCATCATCCGTGTTAGCGGCCTTTTCCTGTCCCGCTCACAGCCATCAACCGTTAAAACTATAAAACCTTATTATTTATTATGATTATTTTTTAAGGGCATATGTATTAATACGCATGTGGGAAGAAAGTTTCTTTTCAAAACCATGCCAATTGAGAGCCCTATCACCTACAGCCCACGACCCACAGCCTACTCGATTATTTGTATATATTTCACGATTTTTTTACTTCGTCCTTTAAAAAACTCCTTCCTTTTTTTTTCATATCCTTATTATCATCAGCACACATTCATATAATCATATAAATCATAAAGTCCAATACAATGCCTTCATTGCTGCGCACAATCGTTGCCGCTTTCGTGGTCCTTATCTTTGTCCTTGAAGATCAGCACAACCAAGTATCAGCTCAGAAGCTTAATAAAACCATTTCCTCTGGCCATAATCTCAATCTCCCAAAAGTCCAGCTATCGGCTCAGGATCAAGTCCAGGTCCAGCCTTACTCCGAGAAGCTCAAGCTCCCAAAGCTTCGATTCTATGAACATGCCAACTATGAAGGGCGATGCGTCCGTTGCGTGACCATTGGCTACAACGATTGCTATACATTAGACCCCAAGAGATTTGAAGGGACCAACTGGGTTTCATCCATTTCTATGATCCAGGAGGACCCAAGAGATGGCCCTACAACGGCCACTTTTTACACTAGCCCAGCTTGTGGAGGCGAGTGGTTCAGATACTCAGAGAACTTGAAGGGCCTGACGACGAGCTGGGGTAGTCTTGGTTCATACAATGACCAAATCCGATCCTTCAAGATCGCTAATTTCTATGTCGAACCCGGTACGGGGTCAAATCAGCCCGATGATAGGCGCACTTTCGGGGAATACTCGTGCCATTGGGGGAAATCTAACGAGTGCCAAAAACCATAGGCCCATAGTAACGGCAAGAGGCGATAAAAAAGTCTAGAGTTCCTCTAAAATAGGGATGAGCCATACTTAATAAATAGATAGAACTTAAATACCCATTCACCTAAAGAGGAATACAATCAAAGTTGAATATCCTTCTGAATGGATTGAACCTTTGAAGCCCAATTTATAGTGAAGATAAAAAATCAAAAATCAAAAATCAAAAATCAAAATGAAACGTAAAACCGATTGTACTTTTACTGTTACTTTACCATCTCTTTTTAATAAAAGTGGGCTTTCCAATACTGCCATATTAATAAAAATAGCGATCCTTAGGAGGTCCGCGAGTTCTGTGACGAATACAGAAAACCATAAAGTGATGTTGTGATGTTCATGGAATTTATGGATACAATGCTATCTTCATTATACATAACCCTAAAAGCTAGGTATGGGGCCTAAATGCTATAGTCTGTAGGAGCGCAGAGTATTGAAATACATGGGATTTCTTTTAGAAGTCATACTGAAATTCGTATAAAGAGCGGTTTCTAATCTCTAATCTACAAAAAGCTGATAATAGGGGACTTGGAAAAGGCCTGGGCCCCAGGTGAGACTTTGAAGCGCGGCTTCTGCCAAAAAAAACTGGTAGCAGTAGTAATAAGGGCTAGGTTGGAAGTCGTCGTCGGACAGGCTTTTGCAACAATAAGAGGCGATCAGCTCTACAAAATAACAGCCTACACGGGAATGATGGCGAAGAGTAAGATAAAGAGGATAGGCTGCCAAGGCTTTCCACTTAAGCAAATATGGTACCGCCCCAATAGGCGCAGTCATCCTCTGGAAAGCATTTAATTAAATAGGAAAAAAAAAAAAAAAAAAAAAAAAAAAGACGAAGAAAAAGAAAGAGTTAATGGCGCACTTTAAAACGCAAAAGCCCTTCTTGCTTATAAAATGAATAAAGGGCTCCCTACTGTTAGAAAGCATGGGTGAGTGATTGGATCTCTTGTCACTTCCTACATATATTACATGTCATTTCCGATCTAATATATTGCATCGTCCTAAAAAGGATTGCTGGACAGAAAGTAGGCTTCAAAGGAGCACTTTCGGGGACTTACTTTAAGGTGCAACTCATGCCAATAGAAGTCGGCTTGGGAATGTAAGTTCGAAAGTTAATCAAATTAGGGCCTTTCATAGAGCTCTGCAATAAGACGCTTGTAAAGCGAATAAGTAGCTGTTGACTTGAATAGCTGATGCCTTTTTCTTAATACTTCAACAATGCTCACCACTTCCAAAGGTAACCATTGTACCTAAACGCCCAATGCGACAGACATCTTCCAATTTCGTTGGCTTTATTAAGTTGATTCAAATGAATATATTACAAATTATCTAGCAGTAACGCATGTAAGGACTAGTGGGCTGCCAAAAAAGGTTATTAGCTAGGGTTTCACGAGTATGCTCACCCGTCTAGATGGCTGTAGCCACATTATCAAGGCCAGACAGGTATTATTCAGAGAAGTGAGTAAGCGGGTCAGATGAACAAGAGAGGGAGAGTACAGGAATAGATGTATTCAGACTGAAGATGATTATGCCAATCCTTTTATTCCATTTCACCTCCCTCTTTTTATTTTTTTTATTGGCAAGTTACAAGGGCTTGGGGACTAAATGATTATGCTTCTATTTACTTTAATCTTTCATTCTCTTATTTTGCTTTTTTTTAAAAAAATAAAAAAGAGAGGCAAAATCCATAAATTTATAAATCTATGTAGGAACAGATGACTATAAAGGATTATGGCCCAGCACAGTGCTTTTTAGCATCGCCTTCCCAGCATTCGCTATAGGTAGGCGCTTCACCAACTTCATTATATCCTTGAGTGTTGCTCAGTTCATAGTCTGCAATCTTGAACGAGATGACACGGTCATTATAGCCAGCCATATTGTCAAGCTCATAACCAGTCAGAGGATTGATCCGCCTGCTCTTTCGGAACCAATTGCCGCTGCAGAACGAATTGTCGTAAAAAGTGATGGCAAACTTATTTTTTAGGAAATCGTTGTTGAAGAATGAAAAAGAAGAGACTCCGCCCAGACCTTTGCCCGACATGTCAATTGTATAGCAGCGGTTGTACTCGTAGATAGGACACATCAAGCATCGACCCCCGTAGAAGCTGTGCTCCCAAAAGACAGCATGACTATGCTGTGCTGAGACTTGGCGATGCAAAAGAGCCAAGGTTATGATACCTAGGATGATAGTTCGAAAAATAGAATGCATATTGGCCCTTCGTTTGTTTCTCAAGAACTGAATGAAGTTGCTCTGAAGACGGATATCGATCTAGAATGAAATGAAAAATAGTTTACAGGCTCTAGTAAGTAGGAAGTAGTTCTCAAAGAGCTTTGCTATGGCAACAGTGGGCACACTGGCCATGACATAACAAGTCGACGCCTTCAGGGGAATTCACTTACTGGCTTCAAGGCGCTGCAGGGAAGGAGATTTAGTGACTGATTGAGAGAAATGATGAAAAAGAGTCGACAATTTATATTTGCAGATGGCAGAGGGCGTACGGGATTGCTAAATTGCTTATCTCGATTATCGATGCCAAGAAGCCGCCTCTCGGGGGACGAATATCTGCAAACGAAGGCAAAGATTAAGTCCCTCCCAATTCACTGCTTTAAAAGTATCCAATGAGAGGCTTCAGTTTATATGAATTATTGGAGTGGCGCTCTGTCCTTGTGCAGCATTTGTATTTTTATATATAAGTATGAACAACACTGGGAACCAAGAATGTTTTTCTTCAATAGAGGAAAGCCTTCTGCTTTGTCAAAGACTGAGAACATAACACTATTTGCATGCAGGGATTGGAAACGGGAAACAATTTGCCAGGGCAAGCGAAAAAAATGTATCATGCATGCGCAACCAACAGAACATGCTTGATGTGAACGAGCCTTGCAGAAATGCGTAATGCACTGAACATAATGAGTAGAATGCGAGCATATGCTGAACAGTTCATATACCCTCCTAATGACCTTAAATTATTTTATCTTACTTTATTTTCCACCTCCAAGGTCTTCGTTTAGTATGAACATTCACTAGATGTACCCTTAGTGCATTGGCCCCTGTCGAGGCTCTGGCCACTTCCACTACCGGGATGGACATATAAGTTAGCGAGCTTGAAGGACCGAATCCTATCGTTCCAGTCTACTAGAGATTCCCTTGAGGCAATAGAGCGCCTCCCCCAGCCCCCTAAATGGCGTAACCAGGGCCATCTTAATAAGTGAATACCGAGGGCGAGGGGGGCTAGCGAAGGGAGGCGAGGGCACTGTGGAAATAGATTGGGGGAACTTGTTCTACATGCTATAAAATATATATATGATTTCAACTGAGGGCGAGGTGATCAAGAGCTAGCTGACGAGATTGTTGCAAAATGGCGGAGGTTGAAAGTTAACCAGTGATCCAATAAGACGCTGTATTTTCACGGCTCTCCTCTCCTTGGACATGTACAGTGTGTACAATATCTCGTATCTAACCCCAGAAAATGTGTAACAAAAAAAAAGGAAAGACGGACCTTTCACATGTGGGGAACCACCCAAAACAAAGGCTCGAATGTTGAGTGGAAAGCCTTATTGAAGACACCGCCGTATGGGGGAGAGGTTCTTGTGATGATACTTGAAACCAAACACTTTCAATTATGATGATAACAAGAAAAAAAAAAAAAAAAATAGTTAAATAATAAAAAAAAAGTTACACACACTAGAACACTTAGTTCTCAATGGCTCTGTGCAATAAGTCGGAACCTCTTGCACTGCCATCCTATAGGTTGACGGCGGGGCCTATACGTGGTCATATGGCAATCCAACAACAATATCCTTGTTAAGGGCTTAAGACACAAAAAAAATCCATGAAAGGTCTTACAAATAAATTGTTGATAGCTACCATAAGAAGCGATAACTTAGGTTGAATTCTCTGGAGGATCCTTACATGTCACAGTAGGGTGAGGGAAGTATCCACGGGAGCTGTTTTGAGCCTTTGATCCCTATGAGATATTGCAGATCGCAAACTGCTTGTATATACTTCTGTGGTCTCCATGGTCTTGGCTACTTGCAGTCCCTACCAGAAGTCATTCTCAGAGCATGTTCTATTAATCCACTTTCCTATTCAGTCGTATCTCTCGAATCTCCTTCGCCCTCTGATTTGTAGATAATGCTGTACCAGTCCTAGGTTTCCTGAGCTTCCTACGCCTCCTCTCCGAGGTGGTGGTTGCAGTTATAACCTGCAGCAATTGGGTCATCGACAACCGCTGTCTGCAAACCCTGAGAAGCTGTCTCTAAAGCTTGCTCCATATTAGTAAGTTTGTGCTGCACTCTTTTCTATCGAGTATCTCACAACTTCCTCTTTCTTTTTTTTCTATTCAAGGCAGTCTCCATAAGGTCGATATGATACAGTGATGTAAAGGGAGATTCATTGGTTTTTCAGAAGGTACAGAGAGGAAACTATGATTTTTTTTTTTTTCAAACAGTCGATGTACTTCCCATAAACAGTGAGTCTGGCGACATGTCGATATGCAGGGAGATAAGTGAGTAATAGATACAAATGTTCCGGACATTGATGGCCTGGTTTCCCCAGATAATTGAGCTCAGCTGGTTACAAGTTTCAAGTTGGTTATGATGAGCATTTTTGTTTGCCTAGCGATTTTGATTTTGTGTAGAGGCAGCGCGCGCACGCGCTGGTTTCAAAGAAAAAAATGCGTTCAAATTCGAATTTACAACTCCGTATTATTATTTGGCGGATAAGGTTTACGTGCTAGCCCCATACACTGATTTTTACCTCAGCGCCCTGTCCTATTCTACTGTGAACGCATTTGTATTTTAAAAAGGAAAAATAAAAAAAAATAAAAATCATTTTGGACTAACTGGAGCTTCTTGCTCCAACGTCCTTAAGCAGCCACACTTGGCTTCCTAGTTCTGTATCTCCAGCGCGGAGCGAGAAATAAACATCAGTTGCTTCCAACGCTTCAGCACAAATATAATACCCTTCTGGTCGAGTAAAGCTGTTATTATTAAAAGTGAAAAAAAAAAAAAAAAAAAAAAAAGATAGATGAAGTAAGAATAAACGAACCCTCAGTTTTCTAAATCGTTCATTAGTATAAGAACCCCATCTGAGCTTTGCATAGAGATTAGTGACTGAAGACTGCCGATACTTTTGTCAATATTTGCCCACTATCATGAGGCTAGCCTTCCTTGACTGAATCAGTTTATAAAGGGCGGCTGCCAACAAAGGTCTTCTCTCAAGGTTACACTAATTGATCTTTTGGAAGGAATCCAAGTGAGGGCGAAGTCAAAATAAATGATTGCTGAGTTGCTGAAGCAAACAATTTTCAACGCATTCACGATCTGTCTGTTTAATAAGCAAGGTATGATGTGACACAGGTTTTGAGACGTCGCACCAGTATTGATAATTGGGCGTTATGGTATCCGTTAATAGGCATCATTTCATTTATTTGGAATTAAGAATGCATTTTTAATAACAATACCAAAATATGTAGGGGAAGCATCTAGAAACGGCATTCGCTGCTCGAGACCTTTTTACAGATTGTTTTGGCATAACTGTCTCCATATGGTAGATGCCCAGCTTCAGAGGGGACAAAAAAGTCTGCGATCTTAAACGACCTAAGATTACCGCCCCACTGACCTAGATTACCAAACACGATGGCGGCATTCTTCCATACGCCAGACATACGGTTCCAATTGCCATTGCAAGTAGCCCCATCATAAAATGTAAGTGCTGAATATCCATCTCGAGTATCAAACTGATCAAATCGCAGAGAGTTAGGCCCCGACAAGCCAGATTTGCCCATATCTACCGCATAACAGGTGTTATATTGCAGTTTTTGACATTTGATGCAACCGCCTTGGTAGTCTGTACGTTCCCAAAGGCGGAGATTGGTGCTGGAAGGAGGGGAAGCAAGGGCTGATACACCACCATGAGGATTTACAGGGCCCTTCTCGATCTTGCCTTGGATATGAGGAACGGTCACATTAGCTACTGCAGAGGCCTGGCTGAAAAGGGCCAAAGCAAAGGAGGTGGCAAGCAGCGTCTTGGATAGATTGAGCATCTTTTTATTCGATCCTTGAGTAGTGGATGGGTGGTTAAGTAAGGTGGTTAGCTTTAAAGGTATTTATTTTGTTGTCTTGTCGGGCCCTTTATATACTTGAGGAAAATATTGTACCAACGATGGGGCTGAGTAAAAGAGAAACAAAAAAGCATTCCGCGTTTGCCCACTTTTTATTTTTAAAAGGACTATGTATGTTTGTCGTCGGGATCAACTGCAACTGCAATCTTTGTATTTTTTTTCCTATTTTTTATATAAGGTGTAGCTATAATTCTACCAAGAAGTGTCTTGAAAACGACCCATATTCAAGAAAACATTTATTGAGCCATTTACAATATTAAGATTCGCTTTAATAATATGTATATATCAGACTGATCACTAATGGAGTTATTCAGACTAAATATTCATCTCCAGAGCCAATGTAACACAACAAGACCGAAAGCGCTACATTAAAGTGTTAATAGCGGCAATGGAGAACAAAAAAAAATGCTTTATAAATCTTTAATACTAAAGACTTTATTTACCGCTTTATCAACATCGAAGCCCTAGGCAGTACTTTTGAGGCTATCATACATGGCCGTCCGACTGACTGGGGCGTTCAATTTTTGAGCAATAATTGACAAAGCAGCATCATTGACAAATGTGACCACTTCATTCTTATAACGGATAATAAATCTAACCTGATTTCCCTGAAAGCCTAAATATCAAAACCTTGTTTTGGGCGGATGAACGGAGGTATCCCAAAATTAGATTGATCACAAGCTTCCGCCCCAATCTTAGTTCAGATGAAAAGAGGGCGAAGACTGGGGCGGCAATGGGAGGGAACAGAGCAACAAAAATAACGAACCGCGCCCTCGGTAACAATTAACATCTAATAAATTTTGTATCACCTTTTCTTACCACGACAAGAAAATACTGAAACCTGAATTTGGAATACATATTTTTGTTTGACGAATAAGCTGTTGAGGGTGTAAAGAAATTGATATCCAATCAAATTTCCGAGTTTCCTAGAATGGATTACAGATAGCAAGTCTCACAGGCCCAGACATCTTACATGGAGCTTCTTCCACTTTTTTCTTCTTTCGTTTGCCCATTGAAGCTTGAGTCTCTTCCTCTAGAGGGATGCTCATCTTCTCTATAGCTTCCACCTCGTTCTTCCACGATATGTTTCGTCAACTTTCTATCACATTCCTTTTTCATGAAAAGAACCGAATGCTCTAGAGTAACGAAGAATTTTTCTTTGAATATAAATTCAAGTGGTGTATTTGCCTCCTCAGGGTCATCAAGTTCATCTTCAGGCTTGAAATCCTCGTTGCAGAACATCTAGCAGAAAGAAAAAAAAAAAAAAAAAAAAAAAGAGTAAAAATACGGAGCAGGATTAGAGTACTAAAATAATAAAAGAATAATGAAATGAATCACTCACCCTCCAGCGTCGCTGATAAACAGCGTACGTCGTTACTGTTCTGAATCTAGTCTTCCTAACGTTGAGCGAGCTCAGGGCAGCAGGGTTATACTTGTATCTGGCTCCATATAGTCGCCTCTTGCTTGTGCTAGCAACAGGTCCCAATTCGATAATGTCATCTTTCTCCTGATCGATTGAGCCGTCTAGTTCTCTGTCGACGACGTCCTCAGAAGATGAGTCAACATTGCCGCCTACCTCCTGTAGCAATGGCGGCTGTGGCATGGATAGAGGTTGGGTAGTTGAGACGCGTGAACAACCTGACTCCTTTGAATTAGGCAGCAAATCTTGTAATAAGAGTAACTTTCTAGGTTGTCTTTCCAGGGCTACTGATGGAGTGGTACGACGTTTTCGACGTGATGGCTGCGATGGTCCTATCTTTCGGGGCCGACCACGTTTTTTTGGTACTGGTAGAGCCGGTTCTGATTGTGATGGCGGGGTAGTGTTGACTGTGACTCTAACTCTGGTAATGAAGGCGGAAACTTTACAATGGCAACCCCTTTTTTGTCGTTCTCTTCCTCGCGCTCAAGTCGCGTCTCTTTTGGCAAGGATAGAGGTTGAGGTTGAGGTTTCGCGATGACTGCCTCTTCTTTGCCATCTTCTTCCTCACAAATAAGTCGTCCCGCTTTGGTGGAAATGGTTTTACCATGTTCATGTTTCATGTGAAAGAATTGAATCTTTTTTTTTGTAGATTGCAAATGAATGTTGAAATGCTAATGATGTTTTGATTGTGAAGGAAGAAGGAAGTGATTTTTTTATTCTATCTCTCGTAGGAACCTACTTTTTAAGTTTTTAACTGGATTTATTTAGTTTAATATTGGATAAATCCTCTTAGTGACTTGATAAATTTATTTAAAAGTTGCCTAAAATGGCTAGCCTCTCCCTTTTTAAATTATTTGATTGGCTAGTTTAAAGTACATGTACATGTACCTTCTGATTTTTTAAGTAGTTTTACTACTCAGCGTTCGTGTAATAATTCAAAGCAAAACGAATACTTTTTTTACAAAGTACAACCGAGAAAAATAAATAAAATACAGTGGGGGTTATGTGGGGAAGTTGGTGTCGGATATCAGGGGCAGATTGGCTAGTCGAAGAGCGTTCAGTTTCTCCTCTCTTTTCCTCTTTTCCTCTTTTCCTCCAACTGATTGATGACCTGGTTCAAAGCGATGTCAGTACCAGCTAAGACCCGTGGAACATCAAAGTCTTCTCCTCGGCGAACACAGGCATGGTGATATTTCCAGATTGTTGCCAGGATGGTACTAAGGAGTAAGAAGGCAGGCACATTGTTGAGTGGGTTAATCTTCGTCGGGTTGGCATAGAACAACGACTCCAGTAGGAAAGCTGACCAGTCATTTTCTCCGACAAATTTCTTCATTGCGCCCTGCCATACTTCCAGCTTCTTGGGGTAACTGAAGAGCAGATGTTGTTCCGTCTCAGGGAACCTCCTACACATCTGACAAATTAGAAGAGATTTATTAGGCATATATCGATGGAGGTGGACACCGAAGGGGAGCTTGTCAATGAGTAATCTCCACCACACATTCCTCGCATTGCGTGGTAAAGGCAGACACCAAAATGACATCCAAAAGCTTGCATTCAGTTTAGGGTCTGGGCGGCGTTCAAATAGATTACGCATAAGAGGAGTTAAGACCGGATAGGTTGCCTTAAAAACAAGTCTCCGAAAGTCCTTCGTGGAGGATTTCTTAAAGCTCTTTATCTTCTTGCCTTCTATAACGATGCAATTAATAGGTTGAGCTAAGTCATCCTTGATCGACATCAGTCCAATGTTGTTGAGGGCTGTTTGGAGAACCGGGTGTAAATGAAAAGTACCGTTCTTGGTGTTTTCTTCCAAACGACAGGATCTGTATGCTACAGCTCGTTCCCTAGCAGAGATAAACTCCAATTTGCCTGGCATGTACTCTGGATTTATCCATACTGGCCGCAGTATCCTGTCAGTGCGCCACTGGGGCGGAAAGTTAAGAGCAACCTTTTTTTTGTTAATTGATCAATCCTGAAGTATTGATGCGGTCACGTGGCCATAGATCAGTATAATGCTAAGTAGCATCCCTCTCTTCTTATTCCACTTTTTCAACATGGTATGTTCTCTGATTATGATGTCGCCATCATGGCCACTTTGTGTAAGAGTATGAATCCTTTTATTTGAATCACGATCCATGCCCCATTTTATTTTTTTTATTTTTATTTTTTTTTTTGAAGCATCTCACATGCTATTGAATGCCGCTACTAGCTCATTGGGACAATTCAAAAGCACGCTAGGCAATCTTTAAAAAGAAAGACACCATAGCGACCTGGCCTTACTAAATACAATCTTCTTAACAATTGTTTCTTTAGCGAGAAACTTAGGGAAAAGATTCAACCGACTTGTAGTGACTCTCAAGTATGAGCACATGGTTACCATATTGAAAGGAAACACGAGTAAAAACGCGTAGATGTTATGAGCCAGGAAAATGGAGGTGATCCAAACAACACGTTCATCACACACAACAACACGATACAAAACTACCCACAACTACCCACAACTAGACACAACTACTGCATCAAGCTACTACACTATAAAACTACACTTCAATACTTCACCAAAAAAAATAATAACTTTACTACAAGATCTATTACACAATTACAAAAACTACCCGCTCTGGATCTTAGTAAAGCACATAGCAACCTTAGCAAGAAATCAAAGCAAAGCGAGGGCTTATTGGACTGGATATAAGGACCTAATACTAACAGGCACCGGGTTTATAAACGAGATCAGGACAACTCATTTCTGGGGTGCGGCACATCGGTAGTCTCGATTAACCGCACAGCTGATAAATATAGGGTGATTCATAGCGGCAATACGCCTGCAATCTCGTAGTTATTATTTACAGTGTTTGAAGCCTTGTAAAACATAATATCCTTTGAGCATTTCATTTTTCATCAATATTCCTTCGGAATTGTACACACAGATGGATTTTCGAGCACAATGAAGCTTTCCTGTAACAGGGCTCAATAATGTTGCACAAGTCCCAATCTCCATTCACCTTATAAAATGCTGCAAATTGGTAGGCTTTGACTCTTTGATCGTTCTTTGTACAGAACCACTAAGTGTACAGCGTTATCTGCTCTCGTTTATGTGAATCACTCTCCCCAACACCTTTCGCTGATTGAGTACTAACTGCTATCGTTTAGACTTTGTGTGCGTTTACTGTTGTGTCTTTTTAAGAGTCTCTTATTTTATCATAATGGCTGAAAGTTTCCCGCTTTAATAATTACCACTACAAGAATCTAATTCCAACAATATCATGAATTGTCTTAATCATTATATCTTCCAATATAGCTGACCAAATCGAATAACATGACGACTTAAGCCTATTATCCGAGAGTCAGGGCCATATATGCCCCACCCTTTGCTCCCACCCTTTGCTCCCACCCTTTCTTTCTCTCCCTTGTTTTCTTTCTTCACGTCTTGGCTCACTATCAAGAAGATACAGATCTACTTGGTGACGGAACAGATCTTACTTTATTCACTTCTAAGGGTAGTTTCTGGACTTTTGCATTGATTGGCAATAAAAGAATACCTAGAAGGGGCTCGACTCCACTTTATAATATCCTTTCCCCTCACAGAAGCCGAATGCTGGATGATGATAAGCTGCAGATGGGATCTAAAATGGTACTAGAACTACTATCCGTCATCTTGCATACTGAAGGTTGCTTTAAAAGATGAATGTTTCTTAATTCTAGTAAAGCATTTCTCGCATTTTTCCATCTCATTAAGCTGTTGCCATACAGCTTGGACTAAAGGCCCCTGTTCATTTGTGATATGGTTAATAAGACCACATTTATAAGTATAAGCAAAGATGCTCATTGCCTCTTCTACTGGTTATTATAGTTTTATTGACTGTGTAATTGATTAGTAAAAATAAAGGCACACAGATGGATGAGAGCATGCGAAAGTGGTTCATGCACGGTTTTCAGAAACCCCTCCGCCTCTTTATTTTATTTTTAATAGGTAGCGTGGGGCTGGCCTTTGTCATACTGATCACCACAACCAGGTGGGGTGTATGCGCGCTTCACGTCCCTCCTCTTCATGGGGCGATTAGGCTCCACAGGTAAAGTGTTGACGTTCCGTCCATCTGATTCCTTCCAATCATGCCCCTCCGGAGGCGTAAAGTTGCGTTTATTGATCACTGCTTGTTTCGCATAACCGTGATCACGACCTTTTCCTTTTGTTCCTGTTGCTGTACTCGCACCTGGGGGAATGGCAGCTGCATCGGAAAATGTGGCAGACACCATCAGGAAGAGAAGGCAGGAGAGGACCAAAGTGACGAAAAAGGAAGAAAAGGAGATAGATGGGCGGGAAGAAGAATGGGAGAAGTAAGAAGTCGAAGATGGAGCTGATCTTGATCTACGGCTGAGTTGGTTATGGGCCTTGATGTGATTTGGTTGCATCATTTTTTTTATTGTTGTTGTAGTAGAGTAGTCTAATGTCTAATGTGGAAATTTAATGGCGGGCAAAGACAATGTGAAAGTGCGAAGGATAATGACTGAGAAAAGAAGGAAGGAATAAAAGGATGACATATTTATAAAAAAGGAAAAAGGGTGTAAAAGTTAAAGTGCTTGAAGTAACAAAAGGGGTTGAGGTGTGGATTGGTCCAAGGGCCTGGCGCTATCCGACCTCAATGGCCCTGACCCCGCATTCCTACCCTTGCTCCGACCCATGCATGAGATGCAAAAGCAAAAAAAAAGGAGTTGGTGTGAGCAGAAATAACTAAATAAATTATAGGAACTGGATCTATCCTCAACTGCTAAAAGTCAAGGAGAGAGAAGGGAGGGAGAATCTGTGGTATTTGCTCTTTTTGTTTTGGAAGACCAAGAATAAAGTGCTGAGGCGCACCACCAGGGTAAAAGGTTTGTCACTCCTGGTATTTTATTATTACTGTTATTGCTTGCTCATCCTGTACAGCCGTTTGGAGGCAAAAAAAAAAGAGGCCCTTCCCTTTCCCTTCCTTCCCCTTACTCCTTTTTTTGTCAGACAGCCAGATACAACAGATGCCGAATGAGGAAATATGAGAACTTTCATAAGATAATAGTTAGTGACTGGCATATCTTGGATAAACAACATTTTACAAAAAGTGTTTGTATCGCTTTTTTTTTTTCTTTTTCTTGCAACATTGCAGAACAAGTTAGGCTTTTTCACTGCACAACAATCACCAAGGAGTACTTGACATCGGACAAAAGGAATCATTAAAGCAACGTCTTTTTAACATTGGCAAAACATGAATGTCACATTTCATTCACCAGTCCCAAAGGCTGCTTTGGACAATAAGAGCAATATGCGTGGAAGCAAAAAGAAATTCACAGCAGAGCACGAAATGGATATAGATGATGATGAGCACCATCATGAGAATAAATTAGAGGGAGGCATTATCAAGGACCCTACTATCCATGTTGTCACACCAGCAGAGGTTATCACCTCCGACGCTGCGTTCATGCGGTAAAAAGAAAGAAAAAGACAGCTTTTTATTTTAAATTCTGATCTGCTCATATATCAACAAGAAGGGGTGGGGAGAATGATCCCTATTTAGAAAGTGCAATATATAATACAAGCGGAAATGAGTTAACACGCTTGCGCTATAACTACTGGTGTACATTACATAGTGGACACGGAACATATGTTGAAGATGAAAAGGTTTTGTCAAGTCTTGCAGGAGTTGTAGAGCGTGTCAACAAGTTGATTTCTGTCAGGCCATTGCATACAAGGTTAGAAAAACCATTATACCTAATTATGCCTTACTATTTGCTATTCTTCGTTTATTTATTTATTTATTTTTTCGATTAATCAGCAACTGACTAATGTTCTATACTCATTTACCTTTCTTAATAATTATCTGCTTTGTCATTACCACTGATGAATGGATGATTTTTAAAATAAAAGATATGCGGGAGAAATTGGAGATGTAGTTGTTGGCAGGATTACAGAGGTCGCTCAGAAACGTTGGAAAGTGGATGTGAATGCTCGTCAGGATGCAATCTTAATGTTAAGCTCAGTTAATTTACCAGGAGGTGTTCAACGACGAAAACAGGAGTCAGATGAGTTACAAATGCGGAATTTCTTTATGGAAGGCGATTTAGTCGTGGCAGAAGTGCAAGCCTTCTTTGGTGACGGTGCTTATTCGATTCATACACGCAGTTTGAAATACGGTAAACTTCGAAATGGATCGTTTATTTCGGTCTCACCAGCTTTAGTACAACGATGCAAATCTCATTTCCATTCCTTATCCTGTGGCGTGGATGTAATCTTGGGATTGAACGGATATATCTGGGTTAGCGCACACGTACCCCAGAGCTTGGACGAGATTGATACAGAGCAAGTTTATTCGAATAAAAACAAGGTAAACAAAGACGGTAAAGGCTTGAATATAGAATGATAGATTAAAGAAAAGAAAAAACTAATTTTAATTCCCTTTTTTCAACAAATGAAGGAGGATATCACCCCTAGTGATCGCGAGTCGATTGCGCGTGTAGTCAACTGTATCCGTGCCCTGGCACAAGACTATATCTTTATCAACGATTCTATCATTTCCTTTGCGTATGAAGCTTCATTACAATACGCACTAAAGGACCTGCACAAACGGCATGTCATGCATGATATTGCCACAGAAGCTGTAGCAGCTGTCGACAGCATAAAAGCATAAAAAACCCTCAAATATGGAGAGTTGGAGAAGTAGCAATTGAAGATGGCTTGTAAGGATGAGACCAGCTAATAACAATAAAATTTCAGTTGATTGGCTGTCATGTCATATTCTATTGAGTAAAGTAAGGTGGTTGGCCTCAGCATTATGGCTCTAGACACATCCTCTCATGCATTGTTGGATTCATCAGGCCATTGTTTTCGCCCATGACCCACGCATGAAGGGCACTCTATGTTATTCAAACCATACGAATTCCCCGTTCACATTGACAATTGAGATTTCAATACCTACTCTCTGTTTTAACCACTCTTTACCAGAAAATGGTTGCGCTGCGATGCTGCTACGCTACTGTACGGCCTATTACTGTTCCCCAGGCACACTGCGAGGAGACAATGATGGTCATGCCATCTCCAGCTATTTTGATTTTTCATCCTCAAGAGAAAATAGCCAGACCCTTCCACAAGGGGGGTATTTAAAATGCAGACTCCTCTCTATTCATCCATTTCCTCTCTTAGAAAGCCTGTGGCAATGGCTTATCATGATGATGTTGCCGTATTATTGTCACTATTGCTGTTTGTTCCATTGCTGTTACTGAGCGCCTGTCGGGCCCAAGCTATCCTGGTTCGACTGTGTAACCTAACAAGAGAGGCTTTCCCTCATACCTATATCCTTTTTTCCATTGACCTTCTACTGTTTGCTTGTTTACTGCCTTATTTATAGATTACTTCGTTTATGTATCCCTCTGAGCCGTCAAAGCTCTTCTTTCAGCACCATATGGCCATGTTTAGAACCGCTTTGCTGTATATACAATTGACACAGGGTCTGTATGGATCGAGTCAGTTGGACGGTATCTTTGCACTATCTCCCTCCACCTCTGCAAGTATCTGATTAAATTGTATTCAGAAAGGACTAACAAATGGATGTGATAGGCCTCATTTGCTTGTTCTTTGGTGCAGCCATAAGTTCATATGCTGCAAATAATCCCATAACGCTTATAAGCCCTTCTCCTCTCCTCAAGTTTACTTGGCACACTCGATGACTTGGACTTCAAAGGTACCTTGCTATATGATGCTAATAAAGGAGCATTTTATCCATCATACACAGTAGGAAGTGAAAGAAGAGAAAATCTTTGCTTCCTAATTCCCAAAAAAAAAAAAAAAAAAAAAAATGCGTTCAAATTAGACGGCAAATCTTTGTTCGCCCAAAAGATTAAATAAAGTTCTCGTACAAGCTCCATGTGTCAAATTTTTCGTGTCCTCGTTAACCACTCAACTTTGAGCGCATTTTCGTTTATGATTCAGAATAATATTTTCAACTGTTGCACATCGGCATACACACTTAATTATGCACCTATCGCTAATTCTCTCCCCATTCAGCAGTTGCTTATGCGTTAAAACTTATTTGTCTGTACAGTTAATTAATACATGTCTTAATATTATCATAACATTTACCACATTTTTGTAACCATACAACAGCATGGGAGGGCTTCATAACGGACTCCTGTTATAAATGCTATGCTTCTAAGGTATGTATGATAGAAATAAGCAACTTGGAGTATATGCAACATATGTGCACATCTACGACGATGGCCTTGGTGTAAGTTTTAGCGCTTGTATCCGCTGCTATCGCATTATTGTACATCGTACGGCTCTGGAGAATGAAAACTACCAAGAAGATTGTGACAATACCCATCAAGCATTTCAATCAATGCTGTACCGTTAATATGAATCATCTCGCACTCAACAGCGTCTCTTCAGTTCATTTTGAAATCAATGATGGCGTGCCGCACATAAAGTCATATTACGGATCCTTGGCTATACTGAAGATAGTCGTTACTGTATTCGGCCCTCCTACACGGCCAAGCCGCGTAACCGTCTCGAGTTTCAAATCGTCCAAATCAATAGGACAAAACTACACCAAATATAGCAGCTGAAACAGCACCTCTCTCAGCTGTTTCTATATTAGTTCTTTCCTTTAAAGCACATATCATTATGTGATGCCTATGGTATACACAATGGCGAGGAGGCTTTCTCGATTACTGAGATTCTCTTCAAGACAATAAATTTGGTTAGTGAGGATATTCTAGCTAAGG